AGACTTGCAATCTGCACACGAAAAAAGATGCGGGCAAGACAAGGTCCTGGAGAAAGCTATTTTGTCATTTGTAGGCTGTGACAGCACCGCCTAATGAAATGATTTTAAAGTAAACAGTATGCTATGTTAGCCTCCAATTTCACAAAAGTGAAACACATTCCTCCCAATAGTGGAGAGAGAACTTGTACAGGGATTTGCCTAAAAAAGAAACCACAATGAATAGGGCCTCAAACACAGCAACCTTTTTTCTATGCTACTACTTATTTAATTGTGAAGTATAAATCACATTTAGATTTATTAGTTTAATCTTATTGGGATTACTGTCTTCGTGTTTGGGCAGCATGATTTTGATTTATTTCCTCTTCTTCTACTTAGTTTTCTGCGGTAATAAACCTCTCCCACTTCCCTGAAGTATTACTTTAAAATAAGGTAGCATTTTTAGAAGGAAATGGTCCAGTCTCATAAATGACATTCACTGCTGCTTCCTCCTGCTTTCCATGGAAGACACAACCTTTCAGACTCTAATTATACCTGAACGAGATTTACCCAAATGGGGTAGATCCCAAAGTGCCACTGAAAGAAGGGAGAATTAAGGGTACTCTGCCCACCCCTAAACTGAAGAAGCTTGTTTAGAGTGACTTGGTTTTCTGCTACATTATTCCAAGCATCTCTAGAGCACTGAGACTTTTCAGAAAAACAGTTGTGTCAGCATTGTGTTTTTGCAGGGTGGCATTGGTTCCTTAGCAGCTTAGAAGATAATTTGTTTGCATGAAAGCAGGTCATCCTATGCCCTAGAAAACATCCATAATTCACTCAGAAAACAAAGTGGTCTTTTTGTTTATGTGTATATTATACAATAGGTGCTGAGCTAAACTCTGTAGTGCTAATAGTCTAGTACTGGGAACAAGATGATGTAAAATGTGCCACCCACTTCAAAGTGAGGCGGTTTTCTTTGGGTGGTTCGTTGGTTGTTTTTTTTTCCACTGTGGAAGAAGCCAAGCTTGTTAGATGTGTATCTGTTCTAGGAAGCACGGGGAACGCAGGCCTGTGCTTCACTGAAGTACTACTTTTCCTTTAGCACCAGTGGACTAATGTTTCTTTCTCCCAGCTGCTTTACCCACATTGAAAATCCAGCAGTAAAAAAACCTGACAATAGCATTTAAGTCCCCTGTGACTTAAAGAGGAAGATTTCTGACTGTGGAGGGTATAACTGACATAAGGAAGGATGAAAATGCTATATGACACCAAAGGCTTATGCACAAAGATACTTATTTTGTTATTGCTCTTAACAGATTGCCACCAAGTTTTCCAAGGGAAGCTGGGAAGAAACAGTGACAATTTGTAAATTTTCTCCTCTTGCTTGCTTGTGTATTGTTTTTCTTAGAGGCAAAAGGGCAGGGAAGAACAGCACAGTCTTAATCAGTTAATTATGTATAAATGCAGAAGAATACACCCCAAACTCTTTGTCCTTTATTAGATTTACTATTGATTTTGGTTTGTGATTGTGCTAGAGACTGGAAGCATTACTAGAAACATTAATAAAGCATACTGACAAACCTTTCTCTCTTTCATAGTCTTGTTTTGTGATATTTATTACTGTGACCAAGTTGTGAAGTGGTTTTATGGGTTTTGTAACTCCCAAAGCTCATCAATGATTTGCTGTCAGCTGCATTGACCATATTCCGTTAGAAGATATAAAAAAAAAATTACACATTTCTCTTCCAGTTATCCAGTTTGGCTTTGTCACACTCTTTGTTGCCTCGTTTCCTCTGGCGCCTCTCTTTGCTCTCCTGAACAACATCATAGAAGTCCGTCTTGATGCAAAAAAGTTTGTTACTGAACTGAGGAGGCCAGACACAGTAAGAGAAAAAGATATAGGTAAGTAATAAAAAAAAGCCCAAACTAGAAAACCAAAGCAGTGAAGATAACACCAAAAATTCAATAAGATAGAGCAAAAATGATAAATCCATTAATAAGTTCTGTTTTCACTTACAGGAATTTGGTATAACATTTTGAGTTGTATTGGAAAGCTTTCAGTTATCATTAATGTAAGTATCCTGTTACATCAGTTTCTAACCATAATCTTGGGAGCTTATACTGTCCTCAGCATGATTTAAAAGTAAAGTCTCAATTGCTATAAAATACAGTAAAATTTAAATTATCTGGTTCATTCTTGTGGAAGTGTAAAATATGATTTAATTACCAACAAGATGACCATTCACTCATCTCATTCTTTCCTTGTGTTATGTAGAACAGGAAGCCTAATTCATGTAAGAACAACCAGTGAAGGGGATGTAAGTAGGCAACAGTCCAGATAATTGACAAAGATCAACTTCTTTCATACCCGTGCCTTTTTCTGATACTTTGCTAGTGTAACTCTTGGTATGAATAAAAAGGATGTAAACTACGTTTATTGTATTCCTTAAGTAAGATCTTCCTGTATTTGATTTAAAATAAAAAAGACTCCTGCCCTAGGAGTTCAATTATAATACTGTCTATTGGGTTTTGACCCACAGATCATAAACTCATAGAATTTAGTTTGGAAAAGACCTTTAGGAACAACGAATCCAACCATAAAATATCAAAGATATCAAAGCACGTTAGAAAAGCAGATGATTTTCATTATTAAAGGGGAAACTTGTACAGAGGTGTTACACAGTTTATTTAGTACAATAGCTTGCAGCAGAACAGCACTCTGTAGCAGTATGTAAGCTGTCATTACAACTGGGAGAACTATAATGCCTCCAGAGCAGCAGTGTTTTTGATTCGGGTAGAGCATTCTTCGCTTATAAAACAGGATTTAAGGCAGGAAATATGTGCAGCCCTGCACATACCCGTAATTTTTCTGTCAGGCATAGATTTGAGGCTTCTAGCACTGATCTGTGCTGCAGCCTCTCGATCATATCTAAATACAGTTTGCAGATTTATGATCCTTGACTATTTTCTGTGTCAAACAACCTCTGAATATCTTTATTTCCTGGGGATTGCCTTAAAATATCAGTTTGATGCTTTTTCTTGACAGAAATATAAATATATGTATACCCAATTTAAAAGCAGGTCTGCTTCTACATCTGAATAAGACTGATGCAGATGAACTGTTTAGCAAAATGTAGTTTTAAGTGAATCTAATGAATACCTATTGATATGAACTAGATACTTCAGTGTTTGGTTCACTTCACAATTATGCCAGTTTTCTACCTGCATGTCAGATGTGTGGTGAAGAGGAGGAAATGGAGGGTGACTACCTTACACTTAATTGGTTTCTCTCACATAACTTTGTGTATCTACAACAAATTATAAGAGCTAGCTATTATGTTCTGTTGTAGTTTTTTAAACTAGTGATAAACCTTCTAATGGCTCCAGGGATGGAAAGAGTTGGAGAAATGTGCGTTACATTAATTGCATGGGCTACCCTATGCTCTAAGAAATGCTGTATTTCCCTAACTGCTAATTTCATCTAGAGAGACAGAGCAGGTTACTGTGTGTTTATATATGTTCTGTACCAGGTCTGGCTATTTAACTTGCACTTCACTACTCTAAACTTAATTGAATGTGAAAATTAAAATCTGAATTAACTTAATCTGAAGCACATTAGACATAGATTCATGACACTGTTGTTTGGTTGGGGTTTTTTTGTCTCTCAGGCTTTTGTAATTGCTGTCACATCCGATTTCATTCCACGCCTTATGTATCAATATGCATACAGTCAAAATGGAACCATGCATGGCTTCATCAATCACACGCTCTCATACTTCAATGTCAGTCATCTCAAGGCGGGAACACAGCCAGAAAACTCCCCATTTGCACAGGATGTTTTATTCTGCAGGTAAAGTACTTCTAATAAGAGTTTGCATAGTCGGAGGGTCTTTTCTCAGATGAAAATTTTCCAAGTGGGAACTGATAATATTTGTGGCTTTAAACAGGTTGTTTTCATAGTACAGCTTTTAGAATATTAACACTATAAGTCCCTTAGAAGGGTTTTCCCAGTGTATTAAAAGTCCAAATAAACAATTTAGGCAGACTTACACAAATATCTTTTCTTTATGGAAAAACGTAACTTTCATTAAAAGCAGTGAGTTTTTTAAATGGACACCCTCTGATTAGAACCAGACTTTCTTTTTCTTTATTAAATTCAGTGCTTACTTTACTGAATTTTCAATATGTTCTGCCTGTCTTTAAAACCTGCAGCATTCCCCATCTACATGTTTTATATGTCAGATTAATCTTTTTGGACGGGGGAAACAAAGCTTGACTTCCTTTAAAATATGGTCAAAGTGTCTAGCCCGCTCCTCTTGTAGTACAGATAACTCATGGGTTTGCATGAGAAATCACTAACATGGTTCCAGGGCTCTGAAAGTAACCTTACTTTTTTAATAAAAATATGCAGAAATTCAAAGAGCTGTTTTAAGGCAGCACAACTGTTTAAAACTGAGCTCCTCAGGTCAGTTATATTTACCAGCCTGCCCCACCTTCTTTTTAGACTTCCTTGAAATCACACTCTTAGCCCCTGCAATGGCAAGAAATCATCACAAAATTTCCTCTATTTTCTTTGGAAGGAGAGCCTTAATTTATATGGTTTTTACTACACACAGGTCTTCAATTGGCCTCCCTTGTTTTGATGCACAATATATTTGCAAGTATTCACTGTCCTTTTCTGTTGTATGGCGAGGTTTTTGAATCTAATACTCCTGATAGTTGCCATCTGAACCTGTCCTGGTTCTAAAACTAGTTTCACCTCTGTCTTTCCCAGTCTTCTTTCTCAAACTAACTCAGGTGTTCACTCTCATGCTTTCATTCTGTGGTTTTACTCTGGTAACAAATTTTGGCTAAGGTGCCAAAGGTGGGAGTCTTGAAATCTATCATCATATCCTCTCATCCTCAAAGCAAGGGCACAAAATCAGTTACCAAGCAGAGCAGAATGATGAGACAAATCTTACAGCTGACATTCACATACAGTCTAGCATCAGATTGACCTTTTCTTGCAGTATTGGCTAATGAATACTCAGATACTGGCAGAAAATACTGCTAGTATTGTAGATATTGTAAATATCAAGTAGTGTTTTCTGGTTAGAGCTGCAGAATTCTTTTTTTCTTTCCTCCAATTCATTTGAATTCATTGTCCTTGATAAATCTGTATTTAAAATACAGATAGATTTCTTCATTATCACTTCCAATGAGCCCTACTTTTCTGCATATCTGACATTGGAAGTTTCTAAAGAATTTGTATTTACAGAGTAGATAGAGATAGGTAAGGCAGCTGGAAAGTTTTTGTAGGGTTACCATTAAGTCATAACTATTAGTCTCTTCCATAAATGAGCAGGAACAGCACTCATCTTCACATAGAAGGCTTGTAACTAATGCTACTTAGGATGCATATTTTTGTTTTACCAAAATCTTTGTCTTCATGTTAAAGTTAGGGAGAGAAAATATTTCAAATAAATCAATCTTTCTGATTAAAAGAAAAAAAAAAAGCCCTACATAATTCTAAATGTTTTCTGATTTTACCCTTCTAGAAATAAATTAATTTAGAAACAAGCAGTGACTTAAAAGCAAAGAGAGAAATTGACTTTGCCATTATCCTTCTAACAGGTGTTGTAAATCGCCCTTCAGAACAGTTCACCTCTTTTCACTCATTATTTAAGGGATCATATTCTAGCTAGGTTCCTGAAGTAGGCAAAAACTTCCCTTGCTTCTAAATGACTGCACATTTCTAAATGTAGACTACATACATATCTCCCATTAAATCAGTTTTTTTTCCATTCTGATTTTATTAGGGAATAAGATGCTTTGCTCAAGTAACTTGAGAAGGGGCAGATGGAAGTTCATGAGGCCTACAAATCAATACCCATCTTAGAGAATATGTTAAATATTGTAATGTAATAATTTTCAAGAAAGAAGTCCTAAAGTAGGCTTTATTCAGTGTAGCTTGCACATGTTTATCTTCTGCTGCTGTGCAAGCACACTTTAATCATACTTTGGATCCCACTGATTTTAAGCAGGGTATTTATCTCACCCAACTATAACCCATAAAAATTATTCATCTCATTTCCTTCACTGGAAGAAGCAGAGTAAATGTGGAGAGAAATCTGGCCCTCTAATTCAGGCACTGCTCTTAGGATTGCCTTTGGGACGTACCTACCTTTTCACCTTGAATACAACGGAGGCTAGATGTACACATGAGACTCCTAACTTTGAAGCAGGTAAAGAGAGAGCATATTGGCTGGGTCATCACACTCAAAGATTTGGGTCAACTGCTTGATGTCCAAGTGGAGACCAGTAACGAGTGGCAGATATGGTTAAGCAACTTAAATGTGGGCCCTGTCCTCTTTCTTTTCTCAAAATGTTATTCTCTGTGAGCTCTGCTATTCTCCATTTCAGTAGGTAGTTAGGAGTTATTTCTAGCATAATAGATGTGAGAGTATGCGGCACCTCTATACTTTTTGATAGACTTATAAGCAGGTCTGTGTAATGGTTTTCTCTTTTCAGTTCCTGGCAATTTTTACTTTGTATTCCCAAGTTAGTGTTTTCCTTCAAGAATCTTGATCCATATGGTTCTCTTACTTCACTGTTATTTGGCTGCTTTCACTTTGCTGCTCTTTACCTCGTCTCAGTCTCTGGCCTCTATTTATGACGTAAGGCTGCCAGTGTATTTGGAAATATGTTCAATCCCAACAGTGATGGAATGCCCTCCTCAGATTAGCATGGATTCAACCAAAATAAAGGGAGAAGGGAATAATCTCCACTAGATATAAAAGTCATCCATGCCTGGTAATATGAAGTCTATGCCATTGAGGAGAAAAAAAAAAAAAAAGAATAAAATTGGTTGCAAAGAAGGGGCATATCCTAAAATTTGACCATGGAGTAGGCTGAATAGGAAACAACTATGAGAGCATTTCTGTTCCATTATCCTGAAACAATTTGGAAAATATGTCAGCATCCATATTCACTGTTTCTCATTATCACCCGCCTCATTTGAATTTTATCAAAATCTCAGTTTTGGCCAGAGCTATCACTGAGATAAAATATGGGTTATCTAGCTTGTGCCCCAGGAGACAGGAACAAACACTGTCCCTTAAGATGGAAAGGAGATCTGTTTTTCTGTTTCTGGCAAATATGTTGGGAACAAGCTGACCTCTTTTATTCTTAGATTTCTGTGACCTCTGGAGATAAATGTGGTTACAACAAGCCCGCATTTTTCTCCTTACGGGCATTGCGAGAGATTAAGGTATCATAAAAATAACCATAACAAGCCAGAAACAACTCTCCCAGCAAACATCCAGAAAACATTCTTTCAATATTTTGAGCAGCATTTTTAACAATGCTGTGAACTCTTTGACACTGCTTCCAAATAAACATTGCTGTAACACCATTCTGATGCATAGCATTAGTTGTAATGTTGTTTTTCAGAAAAAACATTTGTGTAGCTGAAGGCAAATTAAAAGCAAACCTTGCTTTTTTATTGGTTTAGCCCTTTTAATCTTTATAATCTGGTATGGTATTGGAGTACATGAAAGCATGCTGATCACACTGAAAAGAAGAAAGCAGCAGATAGATAGATATGGAATCATTAAAGGGACTTTTGCCTTAACACAAGTCTGCTCCAATATTCAGCAAATATACAAAATGTCTTTGAATGAATTAATTTTCTTAATGCCGTGGGGCCTGTTCTCTTTCTTTTCTCAAAATGTTGCTCCCTGTGGGCTCTGCTATTCCCTCTCGTCTACTCCCAGTGATCAGTTGTGGATTCTGATGTTTTCCCCTGAGCAATCCTTATGTGCTCCTGCATTGCTGAAGCACTACTTCCTTCTGATCCAGTCATGTTTTCTTCAATTTCTTGTCAAAGATGAGCTGAAAAAGTATATCAAACAGATCAGCTTGTTTGGACTGTTTTGCATTTCCACCTGCATATACATTTTGACTTTTTCCACCAGTCTATCCCCATGTAATATACTTGGGAAATATACTAGCAGAATTCTCCTAGCTCTGGCTTCAGTTCAGTTTTGTCTAAGTCTTGTGTGGTCCTCTCCATCCATTCCCCATCATTTCTGTGCTTTCAGTGTGCATTTTTCTTTTTTTCCCTCAGAACTTTCCTGTGCTCTCTTCTTAAAGCACATTAACTACTTCACATTCTTGTCCTTTTTCAGTGGAAGTAGAGTCATTTGCTATTTTTGAAGCACAGTAGTTACGCAGCATGGGTAATTTGCTGTTCCTGGCATACCTGCTGAATCAAATATTTAAAGAACGAAGAATTGAAGAGATGAGGGAAAAGATGGCCTTTTTAAAAAAAATAAACTATACATTGGTTAGAAAGGGCCTGGATTATTGTGCTTTGAAGTCCCATGTGCCATAGAATAATTGAAAAAGGAGGTGGGTAGAAGGCCCAGCTACCTTGTCTGTAGCTCTGAAAACATCTCCTTTCACCATAAATCATTTGCTAGTGTTCTGTTGAATGTAGATTTCGGCATCATAAGCAGTGTAATTTCCAGCTGAGCCAGGTGAATTTTCCATGGGGTCTGATGTCCTCCAACACTTACATAGTTTGTGAAGCTCAGAGTACATTAAATGGAAACTCTGCCACAGTTGGTGACCCTTCCTGGGGAACCTGAGATCTGTTTCAAGACTAGGACTGATTTATGATGCTAGGCAAAATCCACAACAAACTCAGTGGTTTTCCTTGGCTTTGATGTTCAAGCACATTAAATTCAAGGGATCTGACTCTGGCCCTTGCTGCAGCTCCTGTACACAGATCTGAGTAGCATGTGGGAGCCTGCACTGTACAGAAAGGTATCAGAGGGGAAATGTCACAGTACAGGCACAGCACAGGACCAAACAGGAATCCCATGTAAGACAGGACAGAGGGCTCAGCCACCGTGTATGCACCATTGAACAAAATAATCCAGGGTCTAATGCATCAAAATAGTGCTTCCATAATCTAATACAGCCCCAAATTTAAAGGTGTTTTCTCCTCCTCGTCCCTCTCCCCATCATGAGTTGTACCTTGTGTCCTTGGTCTCCAGAAGGTGCAGCACAGGATTACATCCAGCATTTCAGACTGAATTTCTTGGGGGGGGGGAGAGGGCGGGATGTAGGGGCTGTGTGATTGAAAATGTGTAATTTAACATGCAAAACCATGCGGATAGAACCTGAAGGTAATTTTGGTAAGCGCACCTGCAAACTGGAACTGACAGATTTTATATATGAACCTTCTCCATTATCCCCCAACGGAGGCTTTTCCACAGTCTAATGAATCTTACTGTCAGGATGGGTTTTGTGGTATTCAAAACAGATTTTCCCTCTCTTAATTTTATCCCATTACTCCTAGTCAAACACTGTGAACAGCACTAAATTATCCTTTTCAGTCCTAAGGGCACAATTTGTGCATGGTTATCATGTCCAACTGTGGCTGTTACTTACCAAAATGTGCTCTTCTTTAATCCTTTCTGGTGAGTCAGTCTCCTCAGCCCCTGGATTATTTTGCTGAACTGCCTTTAATTTGTTGCTACCTTTTTCTTTTTCTTTTTTTTTTTTCCCTCTGAAATTCCCACAGCTGAATGCCTGAATGCAGCATTCCAGGTGTGGTTTTACCTGAGCTGTTCAGAGAAGGGCTAATACCCCCCAGCACCATTGTGCTTTTTGTTTACACATCCACAAGTCATACTGTCCTGCTGCCATATTTCAGACTTGTGCTAACTTGCTGGCTACTGTAAGCTCCAGGCTATTTTCACTGCATTTTCTTTCAAACTTTATCTGTTGTAAGCTCTTTCCATTGTTTTATTTTTAATCATTTTCCATTTCCCCAGATTATTCTCATTGTGTTTCCTGTCTGTATTTCTTATTGCTTTCTGTGTTTCCTGCTATTTGCAAAACTTTCCAATTTAGGAGCATCTGTGACTTTATTAGCCTGTTGTTTACTTCCAAATGATTAATGATAATGCTAAAATCATCAATCTTTACACCAAACCACTAAGGCTCTGTTTTATCCTGTCTAAGGCTAGACAGTTAATTTAGGAAGTGCTCTTCCCGTGGCTCCCTCTGTCGTTAATGCAATGACAAGAACCACCAAAGTGTGAGTCAGATTTTATGTGGGCTGAATTATAACCTATGTTATAATTTATATTAGTCAAGGTTTAGGTGAATGCAGGCTTGTCTCCTTTAGTGTGAAAATGCCTTGAACTACCTCTGTGCTTTAGTTTCAACACTTTATTCCCTCTACACTGAGATAAATTTAACATTAAGAAAAAAAAAAAGGGGACATTTGTAAATCCAGGAAAATCTGGAAATTCCCAGCATTAGAACAATGTTCTGATTTTGGTTACAACTGTGAAAACCAGACAAATCTTGCTAAATTCAGTGGAGATAGTCCAGCTCTAATTCTGGAGTTGTATTTCATAAGGGTTGGAGTAGGAACATCTGGAGGATTTGATTATTTAGGTTTTGTGACTGGAAAATCATGTTAATCAAAGCAATTGGTGGAGGAAGAGATCACTGCAACTGTGTGATAACTGAGCTGTCTCCATCAACAGGTTCAAAGACTACAGAGAACCACCTTGGTCCCCAAATCAGTATGAGTTTTCTAAACAGTACTGGGCAGTCTTATCAGCTCGCTTGGCTTTTGTTATCCTATTTCAGGTAAGTTTGTTGAGTTGCTGCAATTTCAGTCATAGAAATATTGCAACAAATGGATTGAAATGCATATGCCAAAGAAGCCCATGTCCAATAGAGCTTTTCTGTTCTCAGATACTCATCCTGGTATGATTTCATTCAGCCTGCTGTGGTGTCAGTGGGCTGCAGCATAGGTTCTCCCTTTGGAGCACTGTAGCATACTACCTCAGCAGTTTCCTCCCCCTTCAAGGAAGGGAAGCCTCACAGCCTGTTAGGCCTTGACACTAACAGTGATACCTAAAATGCCCGAGGCCTTTGAATGCTTCAGTTAAGCAGACTTTGTCAGCTATTGTACTCTCAGGGGCACCTTTAAACACAGAAAAGCTGTGTAGGCTTGTCAAGTGCTTGCTTTACCTAAAGCGAGAAACAAACAGAAACGCTAAATCCTCTAAGGTCTTTTGCTACTTTCTACAAGTAAATAAAGTAAATTCTCCCCAGTGTGGACATTTCATTGGCAAGGGATTTGCTATCATGACTTGCCTTCTGAATAGCAGAAGCCTTCTGCTCTCCTCCATGATCTGGGATCCATTCACAGTCAAATTGGCCCTACCCCACATATTGAAATCTGCCTGTCTTTTCTCCTCACCTGCCAAGCATTCCTAAGTGTGACTGTGAGTCTTGCCTGGCTTATATTGCCTTCTTCTGCTTCTTTGTTCTGTCTTCAGTAATTTTCCGCCACTGGCTGCAAAACATTTGAAACCAACTGGTTATGCTGGGCTTCAAATAGTCTGCCTGTTGTTCTGCCAGAGTACATTCCCTGGCTAATTAGCTCCATTGTCTTAAATGGGGACAGAGGATTCATGCTAGTAGCCTTGTCAGCAAATGTTGTCACACATTTTGGGGCATTACACAACACACCAGGTTTTAAATCATTATTATGATAATATAAACTCCAAAGCATAATTTATCTATCCATTTCACAAAGAAGCAGAACTTCTTGCCCAGTCTGCTTCCCTACCTCTGTCTTATGAACATCACCTGTGATGAACTTGACACTTAAGGTTCAGGCTTGTGGCTTGCACGCTGCAGAGTGTAATAAAATCCTGCTTGCCATCAGACAGAAGGATTTGAGGGCAGAATGACCATCAAAGTTGTCTGCTGTCTGCTCAGGCCATATTGGAAACACATGGGTATGATTGTGTTGGAGGATGCTTTTGCTGATGTTGCTGTTATAGTAACGGACTCTTAACTCAGTCTCAACAAATTTGATGTTGAGAACCAAGCACCTTTAGACACTTGTAGGGAATAAGGCTGTTTTAGCTACTTAGGCCATGAATCATTTGAAGAATCCAAGTCCTTTCCCATTTCAAAGCTCACTGAAGCGTGTGTTTAATTTAGCCTCTCTAAAGAGGTAGTGTTGTACACAAACATGAGATGTTTCTTGAACTAAGGCCTTACTCAACTGCTTAATACTGCACGCCATCAGCAAAATGTGATATCTGCCTCACAGCTGTAGCAAAAGTTTGGTTTTTCTCTAGTGTGAGTATTTTTCATTTTTCATACTTGCTTCATGTGTGTTGCTGTGTTTGCAGAACTTGGTGATGTTCCTCAGTGTTCTGGTTGACTGGATGATTCCTGACATCCCCAAGGACATAAGTGAACAGATCAAAAAGGAGAAGAGAGTGCTTGTTGACTTCTTCCTGAAGGAAGAACATGAAAAGCTGAAGCTGATTGAAAGTTTTATTGCACGTGACAAGAAGAAACACAAAAGTGGGACCAAAGGTGGAAAGATCCGGGCTGCCAGCTTCTGTCAGTTTAACCGAAGTCCAAAAGGCAGCTTTGCCTCCTTTAGCTCACAGCACACAGAAGTGTGACTCCTTAGGGAAGGGTAACATACTACGCTCACCTCTGCGATACCTGCTTACTGTGTGATGTGATTCTTAACCTGGAGCAAGGGAGGGAGAGACAGACAGGGAGCAAAATGGAGGCTTCTTTTGCTTCCTTAGAAACTCCATTTTCAAAGTTCTCTGTCACATTTTACATGCTAACTGAGCTGCAGCATTTTCAGACTTTATCAGTGCAAGATAAGGGCTGTACTGTGGCTGTAGCTGGTCCTTGTGGTGATGCATGTGAGTTGGATAGGCACGCAGGAGTTCTCCTCGCTCATGCAGCCTCTGCAGTAGGACCACAACCATCGCTCTTCCTGCAGACACCCCATGGGCCACAGGGAATAGAAGGGACACTCCTGCTCTAGCATCTATCTTTCAGCAGATCTGACCAACTATGGCAAAGTGCACGCAATACATGCTCTCATGGCTTGTAGCTGCCAGCAGATGGTTTGTATACATGTGAAGTCTCAAGTCATTGTGCCTTCCTAACATAAACTGCTACTTGGTGCTGTCTCTGTAGAGCATTCAGGGCTAGTGTTAAGGGCACAGAGCTGTGGGAACAGAAGCAACGAAAATCACTAAGCACTTTCATCTACAGATATATTGTGTTTTGCTTAGCAGGATCTTGAATGCATGTGCTAATGAGCAGAGAGGCCACAACATACCCATCAGAATGAAGTAAAGCTGCTAGGACCAGGGAAGCTCATTGTTACTCATTGTCCTGAACCAAAAAAAACCCCAAACCCTGCATGTTTGATTCTCCTCTCACTCAGACTGGGAATTCAGCCAGTATCAAGAAGAATCACGCCACTAAACCAACACCACTGTGAAGATGATGAGTGAGAATGGAATGAAAACCTGTAAATCATGTGGCATGTTCATGTACATTGCGCATAAAGTAACAAAAGTTGCTGCTGCTGTGCATTTACTGTAAAATATTTTGCAGAACTACATCTCATTGAAGGATAAACATATTCACTAACTAAGCTTTCATCTACAAGCATTTAATGAGTAACTTTATTCTGTTACGAATGAAAATAAAACTTTCTTAAAAAAATGTGTTTCTTTTCCTGTTGTTTCTCTCTCTAGCTCAACTTCTAATTCAGTCTGGATAAAAGATTTTGTTTTCATTTTGTCTTCTCAACAGTGCTTTCAAAACCATCAAACCCCACAAAACAAACAACAGGCATCATATACAACATGATTGCTCTTTAACATTATGATGGTATTTTATATATTTGTGAAGCCTAAAAATTTCATTTTTTTCTTAGAAGGAAAGTTTTTTTTTCTATAAGAACTTTTGCTAATTTAATGAGAGATGTGAAAATAACTATGGTTTGGGTTTTTTTCTCATTCACTGCCTAAGCTAAAGAAAATGAAAATGGGAGAAATGTTTCAGGGTGGGCTGAAATTAATAGTTTCACTTTTAACATTTCATTTGGGGTTATTTATCCCTTGCATACAGTAGATAAAATTTGAAATTATAACGTTAACTTGAATAAGATTGCAAACGTTTAACTTCGTTGGGGAAAAAGAAAAAAAGCCTGACCTCAAGAGGTTTTCTTCTCTTTCCCCTGTCAAAATTAATTTGCTGAATTTTAGATTAATTCAGGGAGAGTTCTTCACCTTCTGAAACTGTTTGTTTGTTGTTTTTTTTTTAATTAATAACAATTTGCTAGGCATATTGCCCATATTTCAGTTTGTTTATATACACTGAACACTACAAATACAGCTTGTAAATGTGCAAAAATATGTAGTATTACAATGCTTCTCCTTTTTTTTTTAGATATATATTATCTAAAACAAGCTATTTAAAGAGCTCCTGACACAATGTACTGAATATAAACTATTGGCTGTGTATATATTTGGTGTTCCGAACTGACTGAGATAGCAAAATTGTAGGAAAACAGTTATTTTAACACAATTTAAGCTTTTTCTTAGTATGAATACCTCACAGTCACCTGTGGTCATGTGAACTACACACTTGTAGGGCCCTAAAGTCATGTTACTGCATCATGGGGGTGCTCAGATGATGTGATCTGCATGGACAAAACATAGCTACTAGAATTTAGACAGGTTCCCTCTGTGGTCACCAGAGAGAGAAAGACACCACCAGCCAGGTACTGATCCCATCTCAACACTGCTGTGTGACATGGACCAATGGATGACCTCAGAGAATGCCCATGTTTTTCTCTGCTCTGTAACAGGAGTCCCAATATCTGCCTTTTAGATTCTGTGCTTGGGCTTTAGTCTGAAGAAGACCAGCACCAAACCTCCAGAGTCAGAGTGCTTAAGATGTTTAAATCTCTGAAAGAATTAGATTCCTAATTGATCATGCTTGTTTTGTTTAGTTTTAATTTTGCTAGGTGTTTGAATGAATATTTTTATTAAGAATTTGCCTTCTGGAAATTTATGACAGGGCTGAAACATAAACCTTGGTTTCCCCCCTGTAATACCAACATTTAAATGAGTGCACTGTATCTCCTTGAAAACAAATTGTCTCATTTTACTTTTAAAAGTCCAGCAAGCCCTGTTGAGGATTCCATGGTCTCATATATTAAGGCAGTCAATATTAATGACATCTATTCCCTTATTTATACTAGTGGGTATTCTGCTGGTGGATCTGGGGACTTGGAACTGTCTGTTTGTTGCTTGTTATTCTAGCCAGTTGAAATAAAATCAATTTTCTTCACTGCAGAAATGCCTCTGAGGTTGACAAGTGTTATGTTTCCAAACAGCAGAAATATCACTCTTGCCAGACCTTTAGATTATCATAATGGTCCTTTTCTTTATGAAGATATGTGGGAGTGCATGCAGAAATGGGTTTAGAAAGAGGCTGACAGGTTACATGGCACCCTCTTTTCCAGTGGCTTGTTTGATGCAAGATGTAATATTTAAAATATTATATTTTAAATTAGAACTATTTTTGTACACTCTCCCTCTACCCACAAAATAGTCTCTGGTCTTTTTAAAAACTGTGAGTCACTCAAAAACAGAGAGAAAAATGCCATCCCAAAGTTGAATGCATTAGGCTTTGTTACACAGAATTTCCATAACAAGTAAATTAAATGCTTGCTGTGGTCCAAAAATGATAATGTGTTTCTAGATTTCCTAGCAAAAGGAACTAGAGAAGCTGGCAGACATACACTGATGCTCTGAATGTTCTCCTGAGGTTTATATATTTCACCCAAACAAGGCTGGGAAAGCGGCACAGCAGCAATCACGGCTGACGTCCAGATGGGATCTACTGTGATATCACAAACAGCTCAATTATCTTTATCTGTGATATGGTTTCTGTTTTTCTCTTAAACTTGAGAGTTTCATTCACTGGGAATTCCTGCAAGTTTGGTACTTGACTCAGGTGCAGTCCCTGAGGATTGCATCCTTTGTTGCATTTGTATGGCAACCTCTGGATTCTCCTGACACTGCTTCCCATCAGCCCCTGTAACTGTAGATCACTGATCGGGCATTCATTCATTCCCTGTTTCTAACTTATCTTTTTTGGACAAAGCAAGACTTTATCTGATACCTTTTTATCAGTCTGATACTTGTAAGTCTACCCACAAAGCACCCCCTTACCAGAAGTTGTGTCTCAGAAGCAGAGAATAACTTGTTCAAGAGGTGTGCATGGAAACTTCTCTCTAGGGAAGGAGAGAACAGGGATGCAAGTAGAAACACAAAGGTAATAAAACCTGTGATCTATTGTCACTCCTTGCTTTAGCAATGAAAATGAGCTAAAATCTCTTCAAAGGAAAGGGAAAAAAGTAAGCAGACAAGAAGTAGCATAGATGTTTCTGCACATTTACTTCAGAATTTCATAGCTCTTTGGACTTCTCCAACTATATAGTAAGTGAAAACCCCAATTAAAATAAAGAAGCAAACAAATGAAAACCCACGAGTCTTTGTATGTGAGTAGCTAATGCCACGCTGAGTGCTACATCTAGTCATAAATCACCATATCCACACTCAAGACTTCATTAATAGGAGTTGCATCAATAGGAATGTACATAATAATTGCATATCCAATCAAAACAGTGTGAATAGGAAGTAACAAAAGGGAGAAATGAGGCTTGCATAAAGCCTTAACACAGATTTAATTAGATATGACATTATAATTATCAGGCAGCGCAAGGTGTGTCCACCTCTCTGTGATCAGCAGAAGCTTATGGTGGCTGATAGAGTTTGCTGCTCCACTTACCACAGCTTCTCCACCGGACTGTTGGCCCAGGTAGTTTCAAACAGCTTTCAGAAGTTATTTAGAAGAAAGTGACCCAGACTTGAAGGGGCTCCCTGCTCCTGAGTCATGTTATGCTTAAACGCCATCAGCCACAGAATCTATCTGACCCATGCAGGCAGACAAATCCACTCACAGTGGTTATGTCTAGTTTTAAAGAGGGCTTTCGGGAACTGAGTGAAGCTGCAGAAATGTTAGCTCTTTCTGTCATGCCTTCCTCGTGCAGACTTGCCCATTCTTTTTAATCATTGGCAGTAGGTGCCTTTTTTGATGGGTATTACTCGCTTCTCAGCCCTCAGCATTCTCAGTATGTAGAAAATACTGCTATCTAGACCTCTTCTGCAATTTGACCTTTCATGACACTCTAAACTAACGAATGTAGTCCAGAAAAAAAAGGGTAGCCTGTGTGGATGTATGTCTGTTAAATTACTGCTTGGAAATACCCAACTTAACATGTACAATATTTACCACTGTTAGCAATAAACTCTTCTGACTACAATAATATAACATCTGTTGGTGTTATGCAGTCTCACCCTTTAATTAGGCACAGATGGTCTTCGTATTCCCCGTCTGGTCTCATTCTTTTGCTTTTGAGAAGAAAATATGAACCTATTCTTGTAGGTAAATTCCTCCGTACCATATACTGGTTAAGACATCATATGTGTCCAGTACACAGGATATACCAGATTTGTTTCAGATATAACAGTAGAAAGTGGCCTTATTGCTCTTAGAGGTACAGAGAGAGGAGGAG